CGGCTCCTAGACCACCGCGGCGGCGAGGGAACCGCGGGGCGTCTCTTCCGGGAGACCGGAGGGGGACGCGCGGGCTTCAGGTTCTGCGGAGTCGCGCTTGCGGGAGGACGATGAAGGCTTGTACTGCGTGGCCCGAAAGGGGCAGAAATGGAAGCGGGGGGCGGAATCGCAGAGGCACGCTGGGGTCAGTCTAAAGGAGTCTTCCGATCGCCGCGGTTGGCTATAGTCGCGCTGTTTCAGGTGGAGGTGAGCAACTTGCAGGTGTGCTCACAGGGGCTGGGCTCATTCATTCAACAGACCGACCCCTGGCTATGGGGCCGACCGCATCCTGGGGGTGTCTATAAAAGCATTATAGATACAGCGCTTAGCACAGTGCCTGCCACATAGTAAGTGGTATTTGTTGGTGCCCCTGCTGTTATTATGGGCATAAAAGTGAACAAAGCTGATATGGTTCCTGTCCTCTTGAAGTTAAATCTCAAATGGAGAAGGTAGTTATTAATTAGATGTCGCTTAAGTATGTATTTTAAATGATGGCAAGTGCACTGAAGGAACCCTGACTTAAAATTAGGGGGCAAGGGAAGGTAGTCAAGGACCTCTCAGAGAAAGGTAAGGAGTTACCTAGATGGGAGAGAGGAGGGAAAGCCAGTGTGAAGAGCCAGGTGGGGTGGGGCAGGGCAGAGGAAATGGAAGATGGGTAAATGGAGATGTCTAGTTTGTCAGAAGCTTATTGGGTTAAGGAGAGAAAAGTATAAATGGAGAGATGTAGTTAGGAGCTAGATCATGCAGCATTTAGTAGGTCAGGATAAGGATGGGTTTTAAAATTTTATGTGTGTTTTAAATTTTTATTGAATGGGGGAGAATGTAGGTGATTTGATATCTTTTTAAAAGATATGTGGAGAATAGGCAAAGCTAAGCGTGAAAGCAGAGGTTGGTTAAGATGTGCACTGGAGTAATGGCAGTGAAGATGGAGAGAAATGGATTAGAGATACATTTTTGAGGTAGAGCCAACTTGGCTTGATATGGGAAATTAGGGGGATTCCTAGACTTCTAGCTTAATCTACTGACTGTGCCCATGGATGTGCTGTTTATTGAAATGATAACTATTGTAGGGGAACCTATTTTGAGGGGAAGGGAGATCGAGAACTTAATTTTACACTTGCTAAATTTAAGATGCCTGTGTGTCAGCCAAATGAAGCAATCAAAAAGGCAGTTGGATACAGACGTCTAGATTTTAGGAGAGAATGTCAGCTACAGAAATCTAACTTGGGATTGCTGTGAAAAAATTATTGCAGCAGACTGAGGTTTGTAATAGCTGACCCCGTGGTCCCATCGACTTGTCAGTCCCTGGTTCTATAG